CGTATTTGCATGAGATCCTCCACATACCTATGCGGAATGCCTCCTAGCAACATACAAACGTCATTTAAACTTATTGAATAGATCTCAAAGGGAGCAGCTCTCTATGTTCCTTGAATGAACCTTTTAAAGAGCATTGCCAAACTTTTCCTTAATAACAATAATTGACTCACCTTGCAAATTGTTTTCCCACTACACATTGCCAAATGTTGCCGTAGTGCTTTTCAAATGTCTCCTTGATAAATTTGCTTATTGACACGAGAGTGTTAAATCTCACGGAAGCATCAGCAGACACCTCCGCAGCCATTTGCTGCATGCTATCAGACATTGTTGTCTGCGAGATGACAGCCTTGAACTCCGAACCCATCATGGTGAGCCGGAATGCACTAAAGTGACATCCATCAACGGTGGCATTCTGCCACTGATTTCACCGCTATGCTTCTTTCCTCCATTGGCTCCACGCCATCTGACACGTCTAAGGCTGCGCGTGGCTCTGCCTACGTCTGTCATTTCATTCGATGCGATTATTAAAAAGCGTGAACTGAGTTTCATTGGAGCATAGGTTAGTTCTGTCAAAAGATGAGTCTTCAAGGCTACTTGGTAGTTTTTGGGGCAGCGCTTTTGCTTTACTTTGATTTTATCTTATGCTCGAATGACCTTTATGTCGTCCTCCGTTGTTTGCACTTGTCCATTCAGATTCCCAGCAGGAGCTGTTGGCAGTGTGCCTACGCCTGTGACACTGTATCACATAGACATGATCGCGAGGATCAAGAAGATTTGCCATAAAACTTAAATGTGAACACATTTACAAAGCATTCATTTGAAGTTTTAATTCTCCAGCCAAGAACTATTGCCACGGGACCTTGGTTCATTTGAGGATAAACTGTTTGCTTGAATCCACAAGTCAGCGGTCTTGGTGACGGGATTGCATGTCGAGCATACTTTTCGACGGTGGGATCAATGAGCTTTGCAATGCAGTAGAACCAAAAACACGAACATCAAAAAGAAGAGGAACCTTTGGTTTTATGACGAAGTTATTCCACGAATGCAGATGTATTTGTAAGAATTTAGTGATAATTGCTATTTCAGTTTTGTTTCTTTATCCTTACAGTTACTGAAGTGGGAGAAACTGGAAAATAATTGTCAATCACTAAGGAAAATTAAATGTATTAGTTTTGCATCCAAAACTCAGCGAATTTCACTTAACACCTTTGCAGCTCCTCTGCTTGCTTACCTATTCAAGAGTGGTTGAGCAGTTTTGTGATGCAAT